TCTATTAACACAGTTGAAGGCTGTATTTCTGTTAACACAGTTGAAGGTTGTACTTACTTATTAATACAGTTGAAGGATGTATTTCTATTAACACAGTTGAAGGTTGTTTCTGAGGCATCTTGAATCTGTCGGACTCTTAAAATTGAAGGAGAAGGGTCTTTCTTTCTGCTCCTATGGTGGTATTTTTGACCACTAACTAAAGGTCTTCCATGCACAGGTTTGGAGCTCTGAGCTTCTGTTACAAAGCCCTGTAAGAGAGTTCTGTTCACTTGATCAATTAAAAAAAAACCAAAAAAACAATCAAAGCCTCAACCACCCAGAGTTTCAGCAGCCCTGTGAGCTGTGAGAAAAGCTGAGCAGAGGGGAGAGCATAAATCCAACATGTTACATGCTGGAAGGTGCACCCTGTCTTGGCATCCTGCCCCTGCTATCCCAGGCAGAAGGAGCCTGTGCTGCACTTGGAGCAGGGAAAAAGCTGCAGCAGCCTCAGTGCAGCTGGGAAAGTGCTGAAAGAAGCCACCCCAGCCAAAAGGGAAGGGATGCTGAGTTGCTAAGTTGATTCTGAGGTTTAAAAAAAATTAAAAAAAAAGAAGAACACACAGCTGAGGGTGGCTGAAATCTGGGGCAGGCACAGCCAAGATCTCAACTAAAGATGTTACCGGGGGTGCTGCTGGTGGTGTGAACTCAGGGAAGGATTTCCAAGCACCACAACCCAACCCTCAGGTGTTTTCAGAGGAGACGTTCTGTCCTGCTCCAGGTGCTTTCAGTGGTGTCTGGCAATGTTTTTTTCTGAGGGGTGAGTGCTGCTGTTGTCTCCTGCCTTGGGAAGTGCTGCCATGGTCCAGAACTCCTGCCCTGAGAAGGTGTCCCGTGGCACAGCAGTGAGGCAGGTCTGCCATCCCTGTGTGTCTTCCCTGAGGAAAAAGCTTTCCCTCTGCAAAGCCATGTAAGTTGTGCTGTCTCTGTCATGCCTGGTTTATGCTGAGAGGGATCCTACACAGGTTTTACTCTGTCTTTGGGGGGTAACTGTGTGTGCTTTGTGGGTGATTTTAGGGGCTCAGAAGGAAGAAGTTAGTGGGACAGGCTGGAAAGAGTCGGGTTTTGTGTGAACTTAGGGCTCAGTTCCTCGCTTTCTGATTGCCTGGGGGAGTTTGGGTGAGTCACTTCATGTTGCTATTTATGAAATAAGGAGAATTCCTTTTTTACCTGGTGGTGAATTAAGCCTGAGTTGCTCAAGTGCTGAAAAATCACAGCTGTGGGAATAGCAGGATAAGCAGAGCTGAGTTACTGAGTGCCCAAATAATGACACTTGATTTAAAGTAATTCCAAGGTTGGGATGGAGACAGCCACAGATTTGGGTGAGATGTGTGCACACCACAGAGCCAATAATCACTGAAAAGAGACAAGGTTAGGCATGAATTACCTTGAGTTTTCACCCAGATTAACTCCAAGTTTGTGACCCTGCTCCTGTTTGATCCAAGGACTTGTTCTTTGTCATGGTGCTGAGGCATCCATCAGGTTTAAGTTAAATTAATTAAAAGTTAAGCTATTGAACCAGAGGAAAAATCAGTCCTTAGACTCAGTCTAAGGAGGAGACAAACTGGTGAAGAGAGGAGACAAATTACAAGACTGGAAAGCAACAGGCTGTGGGGAAATGTAGGAGAGAAGTGAGTGGCAGTTTACAAGAGCTCATATAAAAGTGATTTACATGAAAAAATAAATGTAAATCAAAATGATTTACGTTTACACTCCTGTAAATCAAAATGATTTACATTAGAGATCATATCTAAACGGAGGAAATGGAAAGTGCAATTAGTTTTGTGATATCTGTGTTTGATATGTCCTAAATCTTGGCTGCAGCTTGGTTAGTTCCTTATTAGTTCAGTACCTTATTCTGCTGCTTCCAGGGCTGCAGGGCTTGTTTTTCCTTTGAGTAATCTAATAAAGGTCTCTCAAATAATGGATCAAAATTCAAAAGAGAATTCCTTGCAAGGAGATCAGGGATGAGCTTAGGATAGAGACAGGTTGAAGAAATTCCGTTGGCTGCTTGGATTCCCAGCAAGTTGTGTAAAGTTCAGAAAAGAGGTTGAAGTTTGAAAATGTCAGGATAAATTCCATGTTGTTTGTGTTCTTGGGGCTTGTTTATGCTGCATCTTCTGCCTGTGCCCCTTTCCCCTTGGCATAATGAAGTTGGTGCCAACATTTCTGAGCCCGTTTGCCTGCAAGGGGAGGCAAAGCAAAGATCCTTGGGGGGAAGGGTCCTAATACCAGTCAAACCCCTCAGGAGCTTTTTCCCCTCACAGATGGATGATGCCTGATGTATCATTTTTAGGGAATTTTTTAAAAGTGGTGCTGAAGTCCTTGTTCTGGAGAAGACTTGGAGGCTGCTGAGCTCTCAGAGGGTCCGTGAGCAGGACCCTGATGCTCTTGTAATAACTTCAGGGTGAGTTTCCTTTTGGATCCAGCTCCAAACTCCAAGTCAGTTGGACTTTAATAGTTTAACCAGAATGGTACAAGTCTCTTTTTCACATAGGAAGGATGGTTAATATTTAGATTCAGAGCTTGTGTCCTTTTTTTGCCCCTCTCACCTCCTGGCTGACAAGAACAGCTTAAAATCAGCTCTGCCCTGCTTGGACTGGGCACTGTCAGAGTGACTAAATGGAAATATTCTGTTCCTCAGGTGCCAACATGGTTTTTTCTGTTGGAGTTTCTGTCTCTACTGGGCTGGTGTTTAGGATGAGACAAACCCTGCTGTTCCTTGCACATCCCTGAGTGCAGGGGAAGCCTGACAGACCTCACCCGGGAACACGAGGAGGAGGTGTTTGAATGTTTTAATGATGTAATAATGTTTTAATGAGGCGTTTTAATGTCCCTCCTTCTC